GGACCTTCTTTTGCCCCTCAAGTGCGCGCCTATGCATCGTCTCGGATTCACCATACTTTCCCTGGTACTGCAGCACAAGTGCTAGGTCGTTCAGGCTTATTAGGGTATCAGGGTGGTCTGGTCCGAGAACTCTCTCGCGCGCTTCAAGTGCACATCGGTACATGGTCTCGGATTCGCCGTACTTTTCTTGGTATCGCAGTACAATAGCTAGGTTGTGGAAGCTTGTTAGGGTTGCTGGATGGTCTGTTCCGAGTACCTTCGTACGCCCATTAACTGCCCGCCTATGCATGGTCTCCGATTCATCATACTTCGCTTGGAAACGAAGCACAAGAGACAGGTTGTGGATGCTTGTTAAGGTGTGTGGGTGATGTGGTCCTAGAACAATCTCGCGCCCATCAAGTGCCAGCCGATGCATCTCCTCGGATTCAGCATAATTTCCCTGGTATTGCAGTGCCAAAGCTAGTTTCATGGCACTTGCTAGGGTTTTTTTGTTCCTGGGTCCAAGAACCTTCTCACGCACCTCATATGCACGCCGATTCATCATCTCTGACTCCTCGTATTTTCCAAGATCACTCATCACACTGGCCAGGGAGGATAAGCATTCCAAGGTGTCCAAATCTTTTGGACCCAATGACCTCTCCAGATCGGTTAGCACATTCCGGAGTGTCTTCTCTGCCTCCTTTGCCTGCCCTTGCCGTGCGCTCACCCGCCCCAAGAGCATAAGTCTGCTATGACCCTTATCCCAGCCATGCTCCCTATTCTTCTCGCGAAAGCTGATACATCGACGGATCTGTGCCTCGGCGTCGCTGTAGTAACCCAAATGTAGAAAGTACTCTGCCGTGCGAAAGCAAAGATGCTCAGCAGTAATATCAATTCTACCTTTGGTTGCCGCAAGTGCATGCGGAATGTATGCCTTACCAATCTCCCGTGGCACATGCCCAGAGCCAGCGAACGTTCGCGAGATCGCTCCGAGTGCGGCCTCATTAAATTTATTCCGTTCTTCCAGTGATAGATAGGCATGTATCGATAACTGGATTATGCGGTGAATCTCATAGAAGTTCTCCTTTTCGCACCGGGCCGCGGTAACCAAAGAGAATCCCAAAAGTTTCGCCATCGCTCGATGGAATTCAAGCTGGTCACTGATTCCTTCAACTCCAGATCCAATAAGGAGCTGCTCAGGTATATTTTGATAATCAAAAAATGCGATTAGGCGCAGAAGATCGCCCGCTGTCGGCATCTGTTTCGCAATCCGGTCAAAGGTGATAAAGTACGCGCCTAAAACACTTCCTGTCGCATAAAGCTGGCCCTTGATATCGCTAGGTTGCTGTAAAAGCACCTCTTTCATCGACTTCTGTTTCTCCAACAAAATGGTCAAGTACTCGGAGGGTGGTGTTTCGGTCTCAACCATGAAAGCAGCGGAAGCTACGACAGCCAGCGGCGAGTGATCCACCGACACTAGGATCTTCGGAACTACCTCTCGTTCCCCACAACTCAAACTTCCCCAGCGACAAAAGTGTTTCGAAAATAACCCTAGTGCTTCCTCCTCCTCTATCACTCCGACATCAATCCTCTCGCACCCCTGGTGTAATGCAACCTGGCGAGATCTCGTAGTGAATATTAGAGTACCCCCGGAGCCTTGCGGAACAAACTCAGCAATAGGACTGTTGTTGCTAGCAAAGTCCTCCTCGTCGTCGGCATTGTCAATGACTAGAATCCAATTGCCACTATCTGGGCCCTCGAGCCACCTCTTTATACTCAATAAGAGTCCCTCTTCGTTTGTCTTGGTACCCGCAAGAGGAATTCCGACATGTTGGGCAATGGCCCTGAAGCCTTCCCTAAATTTTAACGCACCGTTTCCCTGCACCCAGAAAATATCACAGTCGCTCTCACTTGCGCGCTGATAAACATATTCGAGGGCAATCTGAGTTTTTCTGAGCAATGTTAGTAAATCCGTCGGACACCGGATTAAATTAATACATACCCGCAACCGCTTGATCCATGAAGAGCGATCCGGTTGTGGCCCTTAGACTTGGATAGCGTCTTTACTGAGTCAATGAGATTCGTACGGCCAGTGAACTTCGTGTTCCTGATATAAGGAATGACCCTATAAGGCCTAGATGAGTCTTGCAGTTGCAGCACCCCATTAGCTCTTTGCCGGGAAGCTCTTGGAAAAGCTGGATATACCTCGGCTGCTGGGTTCGAACACACATCCTTGGGGTGTTACGAGGTTGCCGGTACTTTCCGGGTAGTCTGGATTTATGGTTTCATCTGCTTTACCACCGGAGACATTATAGTCCCCCGAATTCCCACTGGATGCTTTCCTGGCGTCGCCTTGTAATTTTCTGGGAATAGAAGTTGATGAGTACTTTTTCATTCTTTTTCTTTCGCAACGACACAGACACTAAAGGGAGGGTGAACCCACTGATCCATCGTGTTTCAGGCCCAATGCGGGACCGCGGCCGGAGGTCGGGTATGAAGGTGATGAAACGTCGCCAGCCCAACTGAATCGGGAAGTATGCCCTATTGGCGCTTATCGGAATAGTTAAAAATTGTTATGCAAGGCCCCGCAAGAGGTGGCTGATAAGATTTTTCTTTCGGTTGACTATCTCAATAGGCCGCAATGCTGAATAGTGCAATAACAGTAGCTTTAAATTTTGATCTCAAGCTTCCTTTCAAGATCCCCGAAACCAAACCAATCTTCGTATTTATAAGTAAAAATTCGAAGCTAGCCTAAAATAAAGAAAATCTTCGTTCTGTCTCAAGATGGCACATTAGGAAAGTAAAGAAGCCTAATTTGAAGAGTATGAGGGCCTTTTGACCGTGTGGAATGTTGAAATTCGTATTGTAGAAATCAGATGTCTTCACCCGCTCGGGTTGAGGAAAGGCAGAGCGAACATGAGGTAAACACTACGAGATTCTACACCATCACGGGGTACAGCGCCTGAGTTTTGTATGTACCACAAGCGAGGTTTGCTGACCTTGTCCCCTGTAGAGCCTACCAAAATTAGGAGCTGTATCTCCGTAGCTGGCTCTCTTAGGGTTGTACAATGTAATTTGAAGAGCCGGGCGTCACAATTTGGCTAGCTACCCATAATCGATGTATGCGCCGCTATTTCATGCGATGGCGATAGCCACCTCGTGATGAAAAGAACTCTCTTGCATCATCGATTGGCCGCACTGGGGAACACTACTCGCATACTCGATTACGTTGAAGCTTCATAGAATGTAGCTTCTCACCAATCATATCATGGGGATACACGAATAGAGTTTTGAGGCCCATTCTCCGAATAGGCCTCCATCTATCAAGCGCTTCGTTTCCCTGTAACTTAGTGCCCGTTTTTCAGCTTGCATTGTCACATGGTCTTGGCCAAGAGTTGATTAAGGGACTGGAAGGAGAATTGATGCATAAAACCGCCTGGGGTGGCAGAGCACGAGTACTCTTTCACCTGACCAATAATAATTGCGTTAGATATGTGAACACAATGCGACCAAGCCATCATCCGGTAGAGAATATGTGGCGAGGAGGGATTTGAGAGGAGATTCCGTTTAGAAGGGCGCGAGCTGCACTAAATGCCTCTCGCAGGTAACCAGAGGAATGGTAAGCGAGGCGCATGCAGTCGTAACCCGAACACTAGTATGACTCCTCGCCTTCTGTTCGATGCATTCTCAAGCTATAGCGAAGGTAGTGAAACGGACTTCAATCGGTTGCCTTCCTACCTTGCTAGGAATGAGGGAGCCCGGAGAGGGAAGTTTTTGGTGATTACCTTTTTCGCGCATCCTACTCTAATATTTAATAGATGGGTCTTTGAACGCCTAATGACTATAACAGCTTCTGTTCAAGAGGATACGGTATTACGCAATAAGGCCTAGGGTATGGAGGCCTTATGTTGACAGTGGTTTTGCTTAGCAATTGTACAAAGGTAGCTGTATCCCGTGCCCCTTCTGCTTCTATCCGAGAGTCATATGATAGCGCAGACTTCGGAAAACTTAGGTGTGGTTTAGCGTGCCGTAATCAATATTTTATATTACGAATTTTGCGATCTGAGATCGTCTGTTGAACCCTGCCCCTAACATCCGCTGGATTTCCTATCAGGTAGGTTCCCGATGACAATGTCCTGTACACACTTTCCGACAAAGTGTGACAATTTTGAGTGCAACGCTAAATATAGCACCTTAGGAAAAAAGTAGCAATGCTACTGAGGTCCTGGAACCTAAACTGTAAAATGTTATAACAAACCGGTTAATTTAATTTACCACACATACCAATAGCCGGTCCCCCCCCTATTTCGTTGTCGCCCATAATGGGTGGAAGCAAGTGTGACACACCATAAAAAATTACATTCCTGTTTTTCTAACATACTATTTAGATTTAATAGCTACCTATACTAGGTTTATCATGAACTTATATCTTATATGTAAACAACGATATGTGGTTAATCACTGGTAGTATGAAAACCAACTAGAATTGAATAGGCCTAAAAAAAAACCTACTATGTTTTATGGGGAGTCACATTTGCTTCCACATCACGCTTGCTTCCACTGACTGTGAGCAACAGTGAAATAGGAGGGGAACCGCCTATATTGTGATTGTTGTTGTGAATAGTGATCGTCTGTCGTCTCTTCTCTGCGCTTGGAAGCTTTTTCTTTTCTGTTCTGTGTAGGGCCGAACTCGATTCTGATTTTTTCTTGCCTTCGTCATTTCTCCTTCAAAGGAACACCTATCTTTATATACACTTGTGGGATTGCTTCCTCCCCCTCCCGGACATCTCTCCTTGGTCTACAACATATCCGACTCTTCCGACCTCAAGATGAAGGAAGGCCAAAATCCCACTTGAGCGCACCAGCACCTGACAGTTCTCGAGTGGTATATCACAACCGGGCTGTCTGCTAGTTGTCAACATGCCACACCAACACCTGACCTCTATCCACGGTAGCAATTTCCCCGGTCGACCCGGCTGTTACTTACACCTCTGCCAAAGTCTTTCCATCCAACAATTTTCAACTGGCGGGACAATGGTCTTGTCCTTGGTCACATTACTACCAACATCTTCCCTTTCGGCCTGATCACCCTTCACATCAGTGGAAGCAACTTGAGCGAACCACTGGTCCCCCGGTAATGGGAGTATTGCATGGTGGAGTACGGAGGACGGATCTAGAGTACTCGAGTTCTTTGAGGTTCAGACCGCTATTCTCGGTAAAGGACAGAAAGGACCTATATCTCGTTACCTGCTTTCCAATCTACCGGTAAGCCAATTTGCCCGCCTTCATTCCCCCTTCCCCAGTGTTGTCTCCGCTTCTGGATTTCTTTTACTCTCTACTTTTTGGGGTCTTTCCCCTACCAGGCATCTCTTTCCCCTCTTTTGTTGAATATTACCGATATTATTAGCCAGATTGACAGGTCTACCTGGGGGGCTG